CGGCTGTGGCCCCCGGCTGCGGAGGAGGCTGAGACGCAGCTGCCGCGCCGGGGCTTGAGCCGCTGCTTCCTTACCGCGAGCTGCTCCACAGCGCCCGGCACAGGTAAGCCGCGCGGGTCCTGGCTTCTTCAGCCGCAGCGGGAACGGGGACTGTGGCAGGTGGAGGGGACGGAGAGGTAGGAGGGGAGGCAGGTGTGTAGGGGGAGACGGGAAGGCGCGGGCGGTGGAGCGCGGGGGCAGCGGAGGAAAAGTGTGAGCGCTGGGAGGAGCCCCGAGACGCCAGTGCCCATTAGGGTCTTTTGAGATAAACGGATGGGAAGGGTAAGGGGCCCCGGGAACTGAGGGGGCAAAGATAGGTGGGGTTGGGGAGATCGGAGAAGAGGCCAGCGGATTGGCTGGGAGGGCTTGGTAGAGGTAAAAGTGATAGGGCTGAACTGAGAAATATAAAGAATGGGGGGAAGGAGGCAGGAGTGGCCAGAGAGGTGGGTATGGGGCCTCGAAGGAGGCTAGGGCCAGAGGGATCCGGCAGCGAAGGTAGAGGGAGTAGTCGGCAAGGCCAGATCTGAAGCTGCAAGCAGTCCGTTGCTCCGAGCCTGGTGGTCCGGGAACTTTAGGGGAAATGGGGGAGAGGGCCGTGTGAAGGGATGAAGTCGTTTAGAGATTTCTGAGACCTAAGTTTTCTAAATGTCCCCCTTGCCGTCGAGTCGATTCCGACTCATAGCGACCCTGTAGAACAGAGTAGAACTGCCCCACAGGGTTTCCACGGCTGTAATCTTTACTGAAACGGACTGCTGCATCTTTCTCCCGCGGAGTGGCTGGTGGGTTCGAACCGCTGACCTTTCCGTTAGCAGCCAGTGCTTAACCACTGTGCCACCACGGCTCCTTCTCTAAATGTTGGCACACGCGCGCGCACACACACCCGTTGCAGGTGGTATTATTTGGGTCGACTGGCTGCTTAGGGACTGGGGGGAGATGGGCTCTTTGGGGGAGGGTATGTATTGAGTTGTAGAACTGAGTCATCTGGTTCTTACTAAAGAGGCTATAAGACACCTCTCCCTCTGTTGGGGACAGCATATGGAGAAGATGGTGCCACAAGACAAGAAGCAGTTTTTCAGTGACTGAAAGGACTTGGTTGAAAAATTATTCTACTTGTGATTAACTGTAATGATTATAAGGAAATTTTAAATGGCCAACGAATTATTTGCTTTATTTTTTGTTTAATTTTCTTTATCCCAACTTGTTTTTATTTTAAACGAATACTTTTGTCAACTGGATTTTATGTGGATGGAAATCTTTTCAAACTTCGTTACACTATAAGAGCTAAAGCAGAAAGAAAGTATTGCACAGGCATAGTTCACTTTCTAAAGTGCCAAGAGAGGAAGTAAAGGCTGTAAGAGGCA